TTAATTAAAAATATTTTCATCAATCTCACTGTAATATATCTACATCATTTAGTGTATATACTTTTGTTTGTGAAATGATACTTTGGTATGAACTCTAACTAAGGGAATTAGTTCTGAATCTCAGTTTCACTATTGTCTTTGTAGAAGCTCACAGAACTTTATGGGTAGTAACAAAAAAGGAAGGAAGTAATGCTTCCTAGCCTTGCTCCAAAGCAATTTTATGGCTTTATAAACTTCCACTGACTGTTAAGGAATATGCACTGCAAAGGAATATTGAATCTGAGCACTTCCATGGGATCCTCCTATCAGGGAAGAATAGTACCAATAGAAAACTCTGATGGTTTTTCTATTAAATGGAATACTACTCAGCCATAAAGAATGAGAAACTAGAGTCATTCATAGAACAATGGATATTTATTGAGGTCATACTCTTAAGTGAAATAACTAAGGCACACACGTGTAAATACCAAATAATTTCCCTGGTGTGAAAAACTAAAAGTTTAAATAGTATACAAATGGTATAATTGCCAATGTGAAATAGGAAGAAAGGGTCTAAAGGTTTAGGGAAGTGGGAAGGGTAGGGGAAAGGAAATAAGGGAAAAGAAAAATATGAGAAAAGGGAAAAATGGAAACAAAGTCTTTGTAAATAGGAGAGGGGGGAAGAAGTGAAGGGAGGGCAGGGACAAGGGGAAAAATGAGAACCAAAATCTGTCATGTAAAGGTACAAGATCCCAATGATGGATGTAACTGTACTGTATACCTAAAATGTACCACTAAACTCAATGAGAAAAATAAATAAATCAATTAATAAATAAAATTTAAAAAAGAAAACTCTGAGATGGCTTTACAGAATATTTTTATCCAAAAGAAGGAACATGGATTAAATATTCCTGGCCTAAGCAATTAACTGAAAAAAATGATAGCTACCTGGTTACTTATATACTTGAACTATCAGTGTATGGAATATGCTTTTGAAATGATTGTGCCAAAGCAACAGAGCTTGTGTGCTGAAGGAGAGAAAACTAAGTGTATCAACAGCAATTCTGATCATCAAGCGTTAAGGTTTACATGATTACATATTCTTTTAAGATTTGAGCTGCCTTATTATGCAGTTTCTTAAAAAGAACTTGTGGTTATACAAGAAAAGTGGCTGCTTTCCTCAAGAGTTGTTGACATATTTTATAGTGAAATGTCATTATGTCTCCACTTTAATTTATTTTCAAATGCTTAAGGGGAAAATGTGATACAAAGTGAGAAAGAGAACATGTGCACAAATGAGGCAAAATGTTAATAAAGGAAATTTTCTGTTATCACTTCTTTCATGCAAAAATGACTTATTGTAACTATTGATAACAGATACAATTCCATCACTTATTTAAATATATTTATCAAAAAATTAAACATACCTCACATTATTCTTTATTGTTTTGCCATCTTTTAGCAAAAATTGTTAAAACAGATAATAATTTGAGTTTATTTATAACATGCATTTGGTTGAGTGGTAGTAAAACCCCCTATGCCGTGAGCTATTATTTCCTTGTTAAATACTACTGGATCTCTCTTACCCAGGATGCCCATCTTCCCTTTGCCTCTGGCTTTTCCTTGCTATATGCCTCTGTCATTTGGAATTTTCTTCCATGGCAAATTGTTAAGTACTGAAAACACCAATTTTCAAAAACATGTATTTGAGCATTTTTCTCATAAGCATATCCAGGAAGTGTTTATTAATATCTACGTATTCCCAATATGAGTCTTCCTCTCTGTCCTCCTGATCTAATTTGTTACTAAGTTTTTAGAACTTTCTAGACTAAAGCTTTTTGTTTTTACCTTCAAGCATTTTGCTTTACCTTGTAAATCTTCTGAGATTTTGAGTAATTTTATCTTATCCTTTCACTGCCACCTTGAAGGTTTTTCAAACTTTTCCAGTAGTGGCACAATAATGTGTGACAAATAGCCTCAGTTATAATAACTTGATTCTAGAGTTGTGTTATAATTCATGTAGTGGTAAAACAAGATAATTTCAAGCTCATAACCAGGATTATAACTGGTTAAAATAAAATCCAACCTAGGATTCATTTCATCCAGTGGGCCAAATGTGCAAACCCGTGTTGATAAATGTCCCACAAAATTATCTAACCACCCTGTTTGTGTAGTTCTTTCATCCTATTTAGTGTAGGATGCTGGCTCTGCAATAGTCATTGACAGGAATGGTGGTGATGGCGCAGACGTTGATGATTTCCACCAAAATTCTAGCAGATTTATTTTAGATTGTACCTCACTACAACACTTTAATAAAAATTTAGTCTCAAGTTTGATAACTCCAATGGACTAAATCAAAGCATGGTATGAAAATGACACCTTCATTAATAAGTGGAATACACACTGGTAGGGAGAATAAATTCTAGGTTAGCACATAGATGGGTGAGAATGCAAACATTCACACTTTTTGATCAGTGCATGTTTGTATTACAGAATAACGATGTTCATCTCGAGGAATTAATGCGTGTATGCAACGTATCCTGCTCATTTTCAATTCTCTTAAATGCCATGGAATTCCTCCATATACTGTTTCATCATTAATTCACTTATTTATTCATTCTCTCATTTATTTGGCAAATGACGTGTTGAGCTCTTTAGTAGACACTTTTAGGCACTAGGGCTTTCAAGTAAGCAAGTGAGAAGTCAAAGTCCCTGACCTCCAGGGTTTTAAATCCAGTTGGAAGGGACACAAAGTGAACAACAAATCGATAAGTAATGCAATGTAAAACAGAACTATGTCCTGAGAAATGAATGCAGAATATGGATTAAGTTGAACAGGATGATACTGTTTCATAAAAGACAGTTAGGAAAGGCCTCTTTGTGAAAGTGATATTTAAAGAGGGGAGGGGGAGCCGTGTAGTCCTGTGATGAAAAATGTTTCAGATAGAGAGAACATCAAGTTCCAAATTCAAATGCATTCTTTGTGAAGGGTAAATGAAAAATTTTAAACTCATTGGTGCATAGTTAAATGTTTATTCGATGTTGCATATTAATATAAAATGAATAATTAATTTCATATTATCATATATTGTCTTTGCTCTAATGTGCCCCTTCCTTTTCCTCTGGATCATTTTCCCTTCTCTTCAATTTTGTGTCATTCGTGCTGCTCCCAAGACTTTAGGTTAATCCTTTTATTGATTTGTGGTCAATGAAATTCTTACAATACTTAGAGGATTCTGTTAGAGGTTCTGTTTTCTAGATCTTGGCCCTTTTGATCAGCAGTGGTATATCCCCCACCAGAGATGGAATTCAGGACCTTGCACTTGTGAGGCACATGGTGGCATGATTTAGCTAAATCCCCGGCCCCAGCAGTGGCATATTATGAGCAAAGCTACATTTATTTTACTGCCAAATGTTGGACAGTAACACTTTCTAAGTGGGAAATCCCCAACTTCTCTATGATGATGATGGCGTACCTGCCCCATTGCGACCTGTTGTTTTGAATGTGAGGGAGAGGCAGAACTTTAAAACAGTGTCATTTCTAAAATCGTACCTTCAGAAAATGAAAAAGATCTAATCTGACTCTCTCCTCACCCTTCTCATTTCCCACTATGTTTCCCTCTGTATAATATTCCCAGAAGTCAGAAAGCACTGCCTTTGACTATAAAAGAGTACAAGAGCTCAGTTCATTTTCATTTCTATCTTGCTTGGCTGTATTGATTCCTGATTTTTATCAATTTGTGTTAGAGAAAAAAAACTACACACTAATTTAAACTAAGAAATATATAAAGAATTATTAAATACAACAGGAGCTTTGAATAATGAAGGGACCAGCTAGTATGAAAGAAGTAGTAGTTTATTCAGGCCACCATATTAAAATAAAATGGACTGGATGGCTTCAACTATACAGTTTATTTCTCCCAGTTGTAGTGTTTAAAAAGCTCAAGATCAAGGTACCAACCACTTTGGTTCCTGGTGATGGTTCCTGGCTTACAGCCTGCTATCACTTTCTATGTGCTTAGCCACCCTGTTATCTTGGTGTACAAGAGGACAGGGAAAGAAGAGTAAGTTTGCATGTACCTTTTAAGAGCAAGAATACTATCAGAAAAGCCACAAACTCATGACCTCATCTAACTTTAATTATTTCTCAATAGCTCCATATGTAAATACCATCACCTTGGGTGTCAGAGCTTCAGTGCATGAGTGAGGAGCACACTCAGTTCATAGCAAAAGAGAATGCCAAAGAATAGAGGAATAATTGTCATTACCCCTAGAAATGAGATAAAGCACCCAAGGTAGCTCTTCTATTCCCAGCACAGAGCTCCTGGCTTGATAAGCAGGTATAGGGCAAAAGTCATCAAGTTACTGCACTTGTATACCTTGTTAGAAATCTGTTCTCAGGAAGTTGATAGAGACTCTCTCTCTCTCTCTCTCTCTCTCTCTCTCTCTCTCTCTCTCTCTCTGAGGTTTCTGTGATAGCTATTCATAAGTAAGTGTCTCACTTGAGACTTGGCTGAATATTTGCAGAGCTGTTGGCTGCCTTTTGCTGGAGCAGCTGGGAGCTGGAGAAGCCTTGAGTGCTGCAGGAACTGGCTAAGCAACTATGCTGGAATTAGGAAGCAAAGCCCTTTCCTCCTGCAATGTCTCCTCAGCACCCTCTACTGACAAAGCTTCAATACCACCTAGAAAAGGAAAAAAAATTGAAAAAGGCCCAGATCTATTTTGACAGAGTAGGCAAAGAGAAAGTCTATTTAGAATTGTAAAATGTAAATAAAAAAATGAGCATATTGATCCAAACTAAAAATAATTGCCCGCTGAAGCAGACTAAGGAAAGAATACATTGTTAGTGAGCAATATAAACTGCTTTTCAGGGTCATTTTCAGTTTTATTCATTGCTATATTCTCTAGACTTAGAATGAATTAAAATAAATGCTCAGCACATATATTTGTTAAGGAAATTAATGAATGAACTGGTTGTTTAACTTTTTCTTTAATGTTTTTTCCTCTCTCTTTTACCACAGCAGATGGATGCACTGATTGGTCCATCGACATTAAGAAATATCAAGTGTTGGTGGGAGAACCTGTTCGAATCAAATGTGCACTCTTTTATGGTTATATCAGAGCAAATTATTCCCTTGCCCAAAGTGCTGGACTCAGTTTGATGTGGTACAAGAGCTCTGGCCCCGGAGATTTTGAAGAACCAATAGCCTTTGATGGAAGTAGAATGAGTAAAGAAGAAGACTCCATTTGGTTCCGACCGACATTGCTACAGGACAGTGGTCTTTACGCCTGTGTCATCAGGTACACTTTTAATTCTATTACTGTTGAATCAAGGAAATCGCATGCTATTTTTCTCATTCTTAAATTTTTTCCCTATCTCTCTCAGCTGAAGGTATGGTCTCAATATTTGTATCTATTGTTGATTTCTAAAATTTAGAATCTAAATCATAAAAATATAGAATTGGAATTTATATGCAGACATTATCTTTAGCTTATGGAGGAAATAGATAACATCTGGGTATCTACTTATGTTCCCAGAAATTACTAAAGTGTATGAAATAAAATTCATAGAGGAAGTAAATGTTGCACATAAAGTGTAAGCAAAGGCTTGCAGAAAGAATGCATAGTTTATAGCTAATGGATTGTAACAACATGTTATTGCCCTTCATAGAGAGATAGAGCAGAAACACCTCTGGTTCACATACATCTTCAAAGATGATTTAAGTGATGTGTGTATGAGAACAGTGAGAGCAAGATAGCCTTGCCGTGTTAGGGAATACAAAGTTTATATCCCAGATCATGCTATTAATGAAATTTCCTGGGTCAATGCCAAGATCTTCTTGCGTTTCTCACAGCCCATACCAAAGTTAACAAGAACCTCTGCGCCATTATCCCCAAAGTAACTCATCACATATCTACACATCTTTGTCAAAGAGACATATGTAGTTTACGTCATGACAGTGCATTGATACAGTACCCATGTAACACAGAAGCAGTTGACTTGGAGAAAGTTTCAGAATCAGCTAATATTTTTTGGAGACAAATTCTCATTGTGTAGTTCAGGTTGGCTTCCATCTCACCATGTAGCCTAGGTTGGCTTTGCTCTTGTGCCTCAGCCTCCCAAGTGCTGGGATTACAGATGTGTGCCACCATTCCTGGCCCAGAATCAGCTGATATTTTTTTCAAATAAAAATACTACTTCTACTTCTGAAATTTTGATGGGTAACTGTATATTATCTTGCATAATTACCATGCTTCCACGTCAATATCCCTTGTAATAATTACAATAATGACAGGAGTGGAAGACATTAGAATAGGTCAGAGTCCCATAAAATTTAAGCAGAAACGTAGCTCTTTAATACTTACAACATCAAAGTTAGAATTAGTGTTGGAAAATATAAGTGGAAATGAACAGTCACACTAGATAAAAATGTCCATGGGATTTTTTAATACTTGTTTTTCTTTCAGTTTATACCAATACTTTTGTGTTCAAATGTAACTATTAATACAAGTGGAGGTTTAGTTGGGGCATTGCTGAATTATTGTCATACTAGTGTGGATAACATCTATTGTATAGAGCAGCTGGGTTTTTAATTTTAAAAAATCATTATTTCTGATTGTACTTGCATATGTGGAGGTGAATCTGTAAGATGGGTACAATGTGTGCTCTCATTTATCTGAAATTAAAATTCAGTTCAATGTCCATAGAGAAATACTTCATTTCATTATTTACTGTTGAAATAATGGAAAAGAATGTGGCACATTAGTCATCGGAATTTTGAAAGATCTGAGCTGTAATTCTCTTATGTGTTAAATCTACATCTCAATCCATTCCTCTGAGTAACTGAATTAATGTGTTCCTGAGTTTGTAATTGTAAGAATGAATGGAAGGTTGAAAAGTCTCCAAAATGATGATATTTGCCTTGTGCTCTTCTGTCTACATTTTAATAGAAAGTGAAGCTATAGAAAAAATTATTGTTACAACTGGAATTCTAGAGAAAGTGATAAACTGAAGAGAAACTTGCCACTGAAATTGAAGTATTCTCATTGCTGTGAAGTCAGATTATTTATGACTTCTTTTTCCAATTTTGAAAGGGTTAATCAAAATCTTCATAAACAGCAATTGAAATGGCATGGCTTGGTTTTGATGTGAATTAAGCATGATGGATATTGTTTGAGTCTCTGACATTTTGGCAATTATTAATTATCAGGCCACAATCTCTCCCCACTGGTTTTTAAGGAATCCACTTGCAAGTAATATTATAAGTTTGAAAATATTAACTTCTATTCAAAGATTCTAGTCTTCCTTATATGTGTTCTGAGTATTAACTTATCAATGAGATGATTTAACAAATCTTTCATGTGCAGCTAATGAACATTTATACTTAATTATGTTAAATTAGATGATGGAAATAGTGGAAATGCATGAGATTACTGTTACTGTAATAAGCAAGAGATTTCTTGTACCCTTTCCTTGAGGTCTCACATAATTCTTTACTCCATAGTGGAAGGTTTTTAACTCAGTTCTCTTTTTGAATTTTTATTTTATTGTTTTACATGAAACAGTGAGTGGAGAACTATGAAACAATATCATTGTTTTCTTTTATTGCCATCTATAAAATATATATATATTTAAAAAAGAAAAACTGTCCCTGTACTCTTGACATCCAATTTTTAAATTCCCCATTAGCGGTTTCATACATACAGCTGGCTAGTGTTATGTAAACATTCCTAAGCTCCAGAAATGGTCACACATTGTTTAACAGGGTACTTTTAATTTAAATTTTATTCTCAAAATAATTGTTGAATCACATTAAGTCACAAGAATTAATATAGAGAGTTCATATGTATCCTTCATCAAGTTTTGGTCAATTTGGTAACATTTTGCAAAACTGTAGTACAATGTCATAATCAGAATATCGAGTCCCATGTGATAATTATACAAAAAAATGAAATACCATTACCTCAAGGGATACCCGTATTTATTGTTTTTTGTTTTTGTTGCTACATCATTTCTATCTAATCCCAATACCAAGTAACTGGCAACTACTGATCAGTTATTAATGATTTTGTCAGTTCCATAAAGCAGCATAAACAAAATCATACAGTGTATATAAGCTCTTGAAATTGGCCTTTATCTCAGCATAATTCCTTTGAAATCCATCTAAGTGTTGCATGTAAGCAAAGTTCATTCTTTTTTATTGTTCAGTAGTGTTCCACAGGATAAACATGCCACAATGATGTTTATTCACCCAATTCATTTATTCTGCAGGATTTTTATGTTGTGGCCATTAAAACTAAAAAATTCAATGAAAGTTCATGGACAATTTCTTGGGGAAAATAAATTTTCATCTTTCTGGGATAAATGTTCAAGAGTGAATATGAGTTGTAAGTTATCTGCATATTAGTTTTATAAGAAACTGCCAAAAATTTTTCCAAAATAATTGTATCATTTTACATTGCCACCAGCATTATATGAGAGACACAGTTTTGCTATATACTTGCAGTATATGGGGTTGTCACGATATTTATTTATAGCCATTCTGGTAATCTCATCTTGGTATCTCATGGTTTGATTTTGGGAAGGGTAGGGGAAAGGAGATAAGGGAAAAGAAAAAATATGAGAAAATGAAAAAATGGAAATAGTTTTTGTAAATAGGGAAGGGAGAAGGCGGTGAATGGAGGGCAGGGGTAAGGGGAAAAAATGAGAACCAAGACCGGTCATGTAAAGGTACAAGATCCCAATGATGAATGTAACTGTACTGTATACCTAAAATGTACCAATAAACTCAACGAGGAAAAAAATTTAAAAATATAAACTACTTCAGCAAGGTGGCAAAAAAATGCCTAATATCTTTTAAGTGCTCTTTTAAATTGTTATTCACATTTTTATCCATTTTATAATTGGAATTATCTTTCTTGCTAAGTGTTTGGTTTTTATTTTGTTTTCTTTTGTTTGTTTGTTTGTTTTGCTACAGGGAGTACAATGTAGGTCCTCACACATGACAGACAGCTCTTCTACAAATAAGTTATACCACCAGGCACCTTTGTTGAGTTTTCGATAATCTTTACATGCTTAGATATCAGAAATTTTTCATGTAGGTGGTTTGCTAATATATAGCTTTGTTTTTCATCCTCTTAAATTCTTTGCAGAGCAAACGTTTGTTTTTTGTCATTTTATGAGTACATATTTGCAGTATATAATGATTACATTCACTACAGGGAGTTAGCATGTACATAAAATATATATTATTTCTTTTTTCAGCCCCTCCTCCTTGCTTCCACACCTCTTTGTCCATCTCTTGTTCTCCTTAACTTATGCAAAGGATCTATCTCCCCATTTTCTATTATCTATATATTACTTTTCTTTTTGATTTATTTATATTTCTGTTTCTTGTATAAGCACAAACATGTGATATTAATTTTGTGCGTCTGATTTCTTTCACTTAACATTATGGTCTCAAGGAGCATCTATTTTTTCCTAGAAATCACTCAACTTTATCCTTTACAGCAGAGTAATGCTCCATCATGTGTAAATATCACATGTCCTTTATTTATTTATCTGTTGATGAACATATAGGCCACTTCCAAGATTTAGTTTTTATGATTTGTGCTCCTATAAACATGGATAGGCATGTATCACTGTAATATGATGCCTCTAACTCTTTTTGGAAAATCCCCAGAAAGGACTAGCTTGGCCAAATTAAATTCTATATTTAGCTTTTTTTAGTTGGTAGGTTTTTATTACTGCTTCAGTTTTGTTGCCTATGATTGGATTATTCGGGTTGTTTCATATCTTCTTAGTTTAGTTTTGAAAATTCATAAGTATGCGAATAAATGTATGAATAAACATATGTATATGTTTCTAGAAATCTATTCATTTCTTCATAATTCTCCAGCTTGTTGGAGTACAGGTTTTTTAAGAAATTGTTAATAGTTTTTTGGAATTTGATGTCCATTGTGATGTCTCCTTTTTTGTTTCTAGTTGCATTGATGTGCATATTTTCTTTCCATTTTTGGTAAGATTAGTTAAGGGGTTGTCCAATGTGGAGTTCACAGCTATAAACTTCCTTCTTAGGATTGGTTTCATTTTGTCCCATACATTCTGGTACATTGCACTGGTATTATTATTTCATTTTAGGAACTGTGTAATTTCATCTTTGATTTCTTCTATGGCCTATTGATTATTCAAGAGATGCATTATTTAATTTTCATGTGTTTGCATACTTTCTGTGGCTTCTTTTGCCATGATTTTTGCTTTCCTTGCTCTATGATCTGTTAAAGTGCATGGAGTAATTTTG